TAGGAAGCTGATATCTTTTGGGAGGCACTGATCCTGGACTTTGCTGGGATAGTGATCCTCTGGACACTGGTAACAAGACTCCATGTCTGAAAAGGAAAAAGAAAAAAAAAAGCCCCTTGTTTAGAAGTTGGCATGTAAAGTCAAGATAGAAAGACCGGCTCAGTGTACAATGTGAACTCCAAAGACAATTACATGATTCTCAAGCCATTGTGTTTTCATGAGGTAATATGCAGGGCCTAACCTCAATTTATTTGTTATTCCTTCATTCTGTTTATATCCACCTTTCCTTCAGAAGTGCTAGGCAACACTCATAGCCCTCTGTTGTCCTGCTTTTTTAAAAGAAGAACCCCGTGAGATGTCAGAGTCGCGCTTTGGGCCAGTCCTTGAGTGGTCCAGGAAGAAAGAAAACAACTGGACTTTGCTTTACTTAAAGCTACAGATTGTATTATATACAGCTGTATACACAAGTTATATCTTACCTACTAAACTATTCCGCAGCTCTTAGTAACACACACAGCAACAACACCTAACACTCAGCAGGTCACAGGCTGCCTATATCCCCCACATAGTGCTGAGTCAGGATCTATCAGGTGTGAGTACTTGGCTCATTAGCCCCGACTACTTGGTTTGCCCTGTGTTATTCTCAGAGTAAAATTTCTACTGAGTATACCTCAACATGAGATACGCTGGGGAGCGAGAGTGACAGGGCCATAGTGACCATGAAGATCTATGGGTGAACAGGGATTGGAAGCTGATTCTGGCTTCTGGTCCCTCACAGCAGAAGCTGGGCTGGTGTCTTTTTACCAACTGCCACTGTTCAGGCCTTTTGAAATATTTGGGAAAGATTCAGCATGTATTCCTCAGGAATGTGAATCCATTTCAGGAAAAGCACTGATCCTAGGTGAATTCCAAACACAATTCCATTGATTTTCCCCAACATAGTAGATCCTTTTGATATGTGTTTTGCTTCAAATAATCTCCTTCTTTTCTACTGGTTGATCTAGAGAAAAGAACAACAGGAGCAATCCTCCCACCCCACATGTGAAAAGGAACGTGGTGAGCAAGAAGAGGGAGGACTCTGATTTATATTAGCAATCAGGGCATCTTTCTTAACCAACAGTTGGGTTTGAGGTCTCATCAGGGAATGAACAAGTACAGTCCCCTCTTTATAACTTCTATGTCCCAAATATTTCTGTTTCTTGGGACCTGCTGTGGTGGCCTCATCTTTTGTTTTCCTCGATTCTTGTTTTTGGGAAGAAACAAAAATGGAAAATGCAGTACTCCATTTATTTTTTTAATTCTGGTGGGAACAGTTGGTCAGCTCTTGTTTGAACCAAAGCTGAAAAAGTATTGTTGAAGGCTTTCATGGCCGGCATACGATGGCTGGTGTGGGTCTTCTGGGCTGTGTGGCCGTGTTCTGGAAGTTTTGTTTCCTAATGTTTCGCCAGCACCTGTGACCGGGGTCTTTCGAGAGGAGAGGTTAGGGGGGT